GTACCCCAAACTAAAGTCACTTCGGGCTAAGATTGTCCCAATACCAGATCGCGACCAGGATAACGGAACCAAGTTCGTTACAGATTGAGCCCGGATAGATGGAACCACCTCAGTCATGACAACTTCGGGACCATTATACCTCAACACAAGATTGCACCAAGATCACCTCAGTTCAAGGGCACTTCAGCATTCATGTCAAAACGGATCTGAGCACGAGCTCGAGGAGCTCGCTACCAATCAGCCCGCCTACCGTTCAGACCTCCGCATGGCAAACTCAAGGAGCACGCCTTCGTACTCTATATCCCGTAGGACCGTAATTCGTAACGGTCACATTAGTTCACCAACTCCCCAGTTCTGACGGAAAGGGATAGTTTTACCGTTTGGCAGTATTTCGCCCACCTGACACGCAATCAAGTCCCATCGTAGCAGGGATTCAGTAATCGTTACACCAACTCGCATGGACCCCAATATATAAAGACTCCACCCCCCCCCCCCCCCAAGGACAAAGGTAGGTTCTATTATAATTGTTGTGCGTAATCCTTACTCTTTAGCTCTCTCACTGTTATCATCTTCAAGCTCTCTACTACCACTGTGTTCTAACTTAGCCATCAGAGTATCCACGCTGGGTGAGCCTGAAGGGATGAGAGATCCATCGTATGGACGCCCAAATCTTGCAGAACAAAGGGGGCGAATTTCAAAAATTTTTCTCTTCCTTCAATTGGGAATCGCAATCCCTATTTAGAAAATCATATTTTAAAGGATCATTCTTGAACCTTAAACTGAATCAGATCTGAACCAAAAGGAGTAGGAGAGGATTGTACCTGATACGGAGAAATAGTATCCCCCAACGAAGGTATTCATGCCCAAGGAATGATCCAAAGACTGCTCCCACTGAAGATGGCGTAGTGAATGATGGAGCAGAATCAATAGTATTCTTCTCCAAGAATTTTGTCCTTCGCAAGAAACAGCAGAATGGCATGTGAGCACAGCTTCCTATCAATTCTTTCTTAAAGAATTGATGTCAAGATTGAGTCTTGACTTCTCCCACAACTGGAGATCGAACTGGCAAACAGGGCGGCAAGAACAAGGAGGCGAAAAGAAAGAATTCAGCAGGGTTACTTAATTCTTTCTTCTGTGATTTCAGCTCTCAAGGGGATCTAATTATGTGTGTCTTCTAAAGGTTGCCGCCCCCTCCTTCTTTTGCTAACCTAAAAGATCAGCTCCTAATCCAATTAGGAGCTGCTTATCCAAATTATATTTGGATCAGCCCTCTCTTTAGGTGATAAGGATAAACCCTTATCTTATYTRYADATTAGATTAGCTTTCTCCTAATCTCATTAGGAGGTTTCTAGATCTGAATCACATACAGATCTGGACTCTCTGAG